TTCGTCTAGGACTTCGAAGTCTAAAGTGTCTTCAGAAGTAGAGATGAGAGGTTCGGTTGTTGTATGATCGAATGGAAGGTAGCTACATAGGAGTTGGTTGATGTCACAGGCAGCTTGACGGGTATTAATGATATGAGTGGTGTTATAGAATTTATCAGGATCGTTATTTATGTTAATTTTTGATTGAATGATAGTTTTAGTTCTTTCTGATAAGTGACCGATTCGTATTTCTTGTAGAATATTATAAAAATCAATATCATTTCGTTGTCTTTGTGGAATAGTCAAAAATAAGGGAAAGAACGGTGACCATGCTGGGGATTGAAAGACATATTTTGGTCTTACTGGAGGTAATTGAGCTAAGTCACCCACTAGTAGAGTCGGTATTCTTCCAAATACGAAATTGTTGTTATGGATTTTGGCGAAAATATTGCTAATAAAAGTGAATAGATCTCCGTCTACCATTGAAATTTCTTCTATTATAATTGCTTCTATTTTTTTCAGATCGGCTTCATCGTCTTCGTTGGAGTGGATCAAGGTTTGATAGGTTTCATCAAAAAATCAGATTTTTAATAGCGAATGTAAAGTTTTTCCACCGATGTTGTGAGCGGCTACACCAGTAGACGCCATCAGTAGGTATTTTTTGTTTTTTGATTGAAGGAAGGATGTTAATTGGTGTAGTAAAAACGTTTTTCCAGTTCCTGCTGGGCCTGTTAAAAAGAAATATGGGTATTTTCCTTCAGTCGATTTTCCCCAAACGTTGGATAGTGTGGAGTAGATCTTGTATTGTTCGATATTTAAGGTTAATGAGGAACGGGAGTCTAAATTGAGACGGTGTTTTTCTAGGGAAAGGAATTGATTGAAAATTAGGTCTGATAAGTCACGATTTTCAAAATCGTGTAAAAGAGATTCTATTATAGTTTTATATGATTCTGATAAATAATTTTTTTGTTCTATATAGCTTGTGCGAAGTGATTCAGTTAATAGATTGTATCTTATAGGGAACATTGCTTGAAACCTATCTCTATATGTGTCAAATCCTCCAAGCAGTTCTTGTTCGGATCTTATGGGAATTTTCATTATAAGGTGTTGAAAGAAAAAGGGTTCACCATCTTCTACTTTGTAAGTAGTGAATCTTAGTAGTATTGGTGTTTTTCGTTTTACAATCAATCTATTTTTGTGATCTCGGTAGTAAGGTAGATTTGAATTCTGGCTTGGTTGTCTAGATCTTATCGTGTAATCGCGAAAGTAATTGGGATAAGTAATCGAATGGAAGATAGGATTATCGGGACGATCAAGATATTTGTCAATTGCATCGTCCCAGTACGGGGGTTCTGTTTCATTGTTATCATCATTACCGTCGTCATTTGTTTCAGTTAGTAAATAGATTGGTTTGACAGATCTAGGTCTGAGTTCGGAAGGTGCAGATGGGAGATAGAGTACGGAGACGGAGGATCTTGTTAAAGGGTATTGTAATAGAAGAATCATCAATTCCATGGCACCTAATCTTCGTGCCATAATATGTCTTCTATACTCATTGTTTTCAGAGATGTTGAAAAGTTCAGAAGGTTCAGATTTGGTCACGTATTTTGTTATATATTTGGCGAATCCATTTGATGTAACGTATTGAAAATTTATATGACCTCTCCAAATTAATAGTGTTTCAGGGTGGTATGGGACAACCATTTGATCTTCTTGTTTGGTACGGCGATATATGTAACATAAGTTGTTTGGTGAGCAATATGTTCTTTCAGACAAGGGTTGGGAAAAACCTTTAGAACATTGTTCATTTGAGGAGTTTTGTTCTCTACACCTATGATCGCAATGATGTATTTGGAATGTCATAACTAATTGGTGTAGATCAGGTTCTGTATGAGGATCAGGAACATCAGCGCGAATTGTATTTAGGGAAATTAGTTCTTGAGTTTTTTTTTCAGTGTAAGCGAATCCGTGTGTGTGAATTGTTCCTCTATTTTGAAATTCATTGCGTTCAAAGAAATGTTCCCATTTTCCCCAACCCGCTAAATTAGAATTTTTTCATAATTTATTGCGAATGTTATTTAAAAAATTTCAATAGAACATGTAAACGTGTAGTGGGCGATTTGTTGGTAGTGGATCGTGATTATCGGTTGACAAACTCTTCGATGATGATATCTGCAATGGCTCAATCGGAATCATCTCGAAAATTATTGATTATCAAAATATTGAAGTAACCTTTCCTACTTTTACTAACCTGAGTAAAGTTATCATACAAAAAGAAATTGTGTATTTCAATATAAATGGAAAACGAGCATCAAGAAAACAATTCCCACTCCAAAATGCTTTTGCCCTCACTGCCCATAAAGTACAAGGCTTAACTTTACCTCACGTGACGACTTCCATTGACGAAACTTTATTTGCCGAAGGTCAAGCCTATGTCGCAATGAGCCGTGCAACTTCATGGGAAACCCTCTCTATTATAAACTTCGACCATAAGTATCTGATATCGCCGAAAGCCGCCTTAAATGAGTATAAAAGATTAAATACAATACACGCTATAGGACTCCAAAATATACAATAAACTGTCAAAATTATACCCCATAACTTATACCAGTATCTTAAAATAAAATATTTTTTCATTAACCCAGCCACATGTATCATCACCTGATAATAATTATAAAATAGGGGATTACTACTGACACCGCACTACCAACATTATCATTAAGGTTAAAGTAGAATTAGAAAATTAGATCACCTGTTGCAGTGTCGGTAACAATTCCCTAAAATAAAAATAATCACTACCCGTAACCATAACGATAACTCACAGCAACCGCTTTTATATTGCATACCTTGCTTTAAAAGTAATACGTAAGATTTTAATTTCGTATCATAACTTATATTTTATTAATTTTATTTTATTCGCGTTAATTTACTCAATGAATACACCGATTAATAATGATAAAAGACCTTTATACTTATTAACTGACGAATAAAATGAAACTAAATAAAAAGAGATGGATAGTTTAAATTAATTTCACCAGCATCTTTATTCTATACGCGAGATACTTATTAATCTCAACTAGTTTATTAAGCAACTAAACGATTAACTTAGATTAGTTGCAATATATATAGTTGACAACTAATCGACTAGCTAACTCGGAACACTATCGTTATTAGTTAGAGGTTCTTAAGAAACATGGAATGTTCTCTAAAAAACAATAACCTGCCATTTTAAATTCTTACAAGAACATAGGAATCAATTCATTTTCTTCAAGCTGCTTTACAAAACTTTTTATCGCTGAAATTTAAAGATTATAAATTTGCACGCGCGAATCACTAATGCATATATATGGAATCTTTGCCTTGAAAGTAACGTTATGGGACGTAGTAATTATAAGGTAAAAATCCCATTGTGACTTTGGTAATGTGTTATGGCACGAGCAAAGCAATAGATTCTTAGATTTTTTTTTGTATTTTAATCCTGCATCCTAATCCAAAAAGTATTGTGATCTTAAATATTCGTAAAAAAAAAGCATTTTTATTTTACAAATTATTTATGAATTTATTATTCCATCAAAAGAAATGAAATAATGCTCCATTAAGCAAAAACCAAGGTAACTTAAAAAAGAAGGATAAAAAAAACATCGTACAGCAAACTAGATTTGAATGATCACTTAATAGTAATTCGACCCATTTCTTCCGTTTTTCCACGAGGGATCTTTAAAAAGTAATGTTAAAACTTCTAATATCTAAACATTGAACTTTTATAGATACTGACCTTTATTTCAAGCAATCCATCCTGATAATTTGCATCGATATCTTCTTTAGCCACGGAAATATCACGAGGCAAAAAAACGTGTTTCCGGAAACGCCCGATGTTACGTTCACGAACACGCGATGTTGCACATTCGTAAGTAAATCCTTTGGATTCGCCTTGAATAATCAGTTCACGATCACGAAGATCAATCGAAATATCTTCTTTAGGAACTCCCTAATATAATAAGAAATGTTAATGATAAAACTCACTAATTCCTTTGCAGTGATTGAAGCTTACAGGTAAGTCAACATGGGCAATAAAGAATTCGATTGTCTCAAAGACGTCGGTAGCCGGTCTAAAAATGCAGAGAAAAAAAAATTGTCAGAATATGGAATTTTCAAATAATATTAAGAAAATTTTGATGTGAACCTCCAAACAACGTCTCCTTCTCTTTCAGTCATAACACGCGATTCTACATGACGTGGTATACGATCTTGAATAGGCACCCGACGTCTTGCGTCTCGATCTCCCCAGCCTAATCTATCCATTCTATCACGATTTCCACCACGATCACGAGGCCCCCAACGATCAAACCGATCGTTAGTTCCGGAAGGCGTAGTCAAATCGCTCACAAAAAGGTAAGGAAGACCCAAATCAAAGGTCGGATCATAAAAAGGGTCCAAAAATCTTTCGAAAGGATCATAGGCCATGATTTAAAAAATAATATAAAAAAAAAAAAAAAAATAAAACTCCAATTTACTTTCTCATTATTGCTTGAACTTTGGTCCCTTTTATACCAATAAAATTCAATGGCTTATGTTTTGTAAAGTTTACATAATGATCAAGTCATTTTTATTTCAAACTGGATAAATACATAAAAATTATGTCATTATTGTTTTCATAGAAAATGAGATATTACCTTAGTTTAAAGTGGTCTCACGTAAACCTTATAATTTACAGTTATTTGAAATTTAATATAACATGATTTAGTTTTTAACAATTCTACAGTATATTCAAAAGATGGTTATTGTAATTACTAAAGTCCTTTAGGAATGTCCCATTAATCTTAACTGTTAATCATGGTGCAAATTTATACTCTTTAATAACCATGATGGGTGGGTGCATAAGAACTATTAACTATTACTTTTAATTAAATTTCAAATTAATGTAATAAGCATCTTTCATCCCATTAAATACATTCATTCAATTGAATCTTCGCCACTAAACGATCTATACATTAAAAATACCAATACACAAGTCCTCTTTTAAGTACAAATCCCCTCCAACTATTGCGTAGACCCATCTTATACGCACACGTGACTTCTTTTATTAGTCTCTTAGCGTGGGAGTAACATTTTCGATTTAATTATATCAGATATTATAAACTGATTTCAATCATTACGTGAAATTTTGCTTTAAAGCAAATGAAATACGTCACAATCAATATTCAATCGTCGTGATTGGCTAATTTTGGGTCTGACCATATGGCTACAATATTATATACGTACCTCTTGAGCGTCGGCAACTTGTACATTAAAAAAAATGGATTCTGATCATATGGAATGTTCTGAAGACGAACGCCCTCCCTCACCAATCAAGTTCTCTGGAACTATTAAAGGGAAAGGGAAAGCTTCTAAAGGTTTTGCCTCGCAAATAGAAGATAACTTGCCATGGTATGTTAAAATAATCTTTGTTTCGTGTGATTTAAGCAATTTTTGACGCGTTTGGAAATGATAGGGTAGAAAAATATCGCCCTCAAACACTCGTCGAACTTGTATCACATAAAGAAATTACCTCTACAGGTTATTATAACTTTAAATTTTCACTCTTAAGTCATTTGCACGCTCGTTTTGACAGAATATGTGCCTCAACAATTCTCGTGTTCATTTTTCATTAGTCGAAAGGTTTATCAATGAAGGCCGTGTTCCACATTTATTGTTTTATGGTCCACCTGGAACTGGGAAAACATCAACCATATTAGCTTGTGCGAGAAAGTTATATGGTGATGAATGGAGATCTATGGTTATGG